ATATAAAAAGTACTCTATGAAGGGGGTCATGGAGGATGTTGTAAATGAATATTCATGGTATAAGTAGCAGTTGTATACACCGGCTTGACCAAGAGGTGGTCACGGCATAGTGCGTTGGTAGGACTATATTTAGTGAACAGGAAGTTTTGATTCCATGACCCTGTTTGTTTCCTATCTGAAAATTCAGCATTCGACTTGACACATTGTGCAGTACTGCTTGTGCTTGGGGTTATTCGCTTATAACATAACCATTTGTAGCAAAAATGTCTGCAAACACTTGTCTTTCGAATGCCTGGTATTGCCCTTATTTCCGTTGACCAACTAACTAAAGTAAATGTGGTATTCGTGTTCGGCAATGTCGAACAGCACCTGAGTCTTTAACTATCAGTTATGTGAAAATTTTATCCAGCTTTGAAAAAGTCAGTACACATCAACGATGAGCGCACTGTCTCAGCCAATAACCATAAGGCTAACCTTGTTATAAAGTTATTACAGTATAGAGATGCGAAGTAGGAACGACAGTGGAGAAAAAACTGAGAAAAACCGTCGACAAGGCCGTTAACAAAACCCTCTTTCCCACTAGCAGTGAAGGAGGCTGGCTTGGGGAAGAGGCACGTACAAACAAGTTTTCTGAAGATATCAGTCGTTCTATCGGTTGATACGGCAATCAACCTAGCTGATTCACACGTTATGCCAGCCATGCACCACATCACGAGGTGGGCGGTGATAGCGCATAGGACATGCCCTGGGGCCTGATTACTGCGCCGTTTTGGGTTTTGAGTGTGGGAACTTCTCTACGGGTGCATAACCAAGTACATGCGCACGACTGAAAGGGTTGGTTTGGTCAACTAATCCCGACCTTTGCCTCTAAGGGTTACTCCTAGCTAAATCAGAATAAGTAAGAAATGAGAGCAGCGTAGGTCTTCGAAAACATTTCATTTCGGGAAGCGCACATTCTAAACGCATCTACAATTTAGGGTTTGATACTAGTCATAATTGCAGAAATACAGGATTTGTTCATACAGTCCTTTGATTAAAATCGACTCCATTCATTCCCTAATTAGCGGACCTCTTGCTTCTCAAGCCTGGTTCGCCGAACAACGCCTCCACTACCATATTTTCTATCGAAATTTAACCCGGGGACTGGCTTTGCAATTCGAGGTGCGTGATGTGATCCTCCAAGATAATAGGTGGCGATTTTCTGCATTTCCCATTGCAAGCCTCGCAGGATGGTTGAGGTATTTATTTGACATTATTACTCTCGCAACGATAGAATTCAATTTCAATCGTGAAGGGAACCTCCTCTAATTAGAGAAAATCTATGTGAGGGTGCAAGCTGCATACGCTACCCGGCTCCTTGATTTCATGGTTTATTAAAAAAGGTTTCTGATGCCTTACAGGAACTATTTCAGTGTCGTTGGATGATTTGCCGACGGAAACGTACGCCATCGCTTGTACTGAGCTCGACTTCAATGAGATGATGCTCTTGTACGACGGAACTAGATGTCTACCTTGCTAGCGAAATATTCGCAGTCTCCAATTGCTGAAGCATCAATCTTGCTTTCTGATTTGATGGTCGAAGCAATAAGGTATTGCCTAATAAGATACACTCCGAGCCTAAACCGGCGATCAATTTGTGTCAGGTGTTTCATGTTTTTCGAGGGCACCTCGGTAAAATCTGCCCTTTTGAACATCTTTTAAGTGTACCAGCAACAATACTGAATAGAAACGAAGGCAAAACGCACAAAAAATATGCAAGAAATAAATATCGTGTAACATCAAATCAGGCAGCACTGTATTGGTCACAAAGGCTTTCAAAGGATAACGTGAACCTTTATGCTCTGTAGCCGAATATTGTGGGGTGGGCCACAGCATCTTACTTACGTCGGAACTACAACGGTAGCTGCAAAGCAACAAGGCAAGAAACGCGTATTAAGATAAAGAATTGAAATGAAAAACAAGGTCAGCTACTTAACTTCCAACAGAGGAATAAAAAATAAAACTTGGTATGAAAAAAGTGGTTGTGAAAAAGAAGAAGACTGAAAGGATAACAAGGATCCCTACTATATATAAAACGCTATGTTTGTCTGTTTGTATGTGTGTACAGGGGGGGGGGCAAAAAAAGAGTCACTCCCACTCACATTCAAAACAGAATTAATTACACTTTGCCAAACCAAACCGAATGAGCTCAATTGCATATTGAAGAGCACATTCTATCTATCAAAAAATTACATAGGGCTTTCTACACCGACGACATCAGAAGATTTTCCCACGGAAACATGGTGCACGGTACGAGCTCAACGAGGTCGTCGAGAAACCATAGACGATTACGACGTCTCTGAAACGCTGGTCAAAAGCCATTTTGCATAGTCAGAGCAGGTGTCCCTGAGAAGCCATTCACC